TTTTTTATTAAAGAGCTGCTAATTTGTAACATAAGGATCTGATGGAGTGATGCCAGTAGGAGAATACGGTCGAATTGTAAAATCACGTGGACTTCTGCGAGGTGTTGTCCGGCGAATGGAGCGAGATGGAGAACTTCGTAAGTACTGAGCAAGAGCGCATTCATGGGTTTCACGAAACTTGCGGTACTTTACATGATAGAAGTCTGCAAAAATAAAAAAGAAAACAGCAGCAACAAATTTGTCCAGCGATAGACGTCTGGGATCAACTTCGCATTTTCCACCCTCGTCGATTACCTGAAATTCTGAAATTAGCGATACGTACTAGTGACTAGACAACTCACGTTTTGTGCGGTAAAACAGAGTATGAGACAGAAAACCAACTGGTACACTTGCGCTAAAAGAGCTTTTTAGAAACGTCGATAAGCAGTTTTTATTCAGAAAGAGAACTTACTAAAAGCAACAAACAGCCAACATGGAGCGATTCCAAACTTCTTTGGACTCAAATAGGAGTAGAGTATTACATGAGAAAAAAGATTGATGAACACGAACCATCTAAATAGAAATTGTCCATCCAGTGTACAAGCGTTTGCTCCAAAACAATATTTGTAAACAAGTGGGCAGAGCCATGCACAGCTCTTGAAAACTGTGAGGAGTGGTGTATTGTATTTTTCAGATTGCTTGAATTATTGTGACTTTGTATCTTTGGACAAGCAGATGATGTTGTTACGGTCTAGGGCAGTTAATCTACGAAGTCAGAATCTATACTTAGATTCCTGCTCGGAAATTTTAAAAAATTACTGCTGAAATACATGTAAATATGTGCTTACTCCTAGAAGAAAAGCATAGCATTTTACTCTAATTTTGGCTAACTGCTTCTTTCCCAAATATAATGGATCGCTTTCTTGGCTTTAAGAACGCCTGCTTCCAAATTTGACAAGTTAACAAGGTTCAAACTTTAAATTAGTAAAAATTCACTTGATCTCTATGGCCTAAGCTTTACCTTGTTGGATAATCGAAATTTATAAACCTCTATAATTCGAGCATGAAAATGTAAGCTCTTGCTAGGCTTTCAAAATGGTTTTACCTGCCAAGTGA